TGCAAGATGCTAAACCAGTGAGTACACCTTTAGGTGTTCATTTCAGACTTTCCAAAGAGCAGTCACCAAAGACAGAAGAAGAGCGTGCACACATGACGAAGATCTCGTACGCCTCAGCAATTGGAAGTCTGATGTATGTCATGGTTTGTATAAGACCAGATATTGCTCAAGTAGTAGGAGCTGCTAGCAGGTACATGAATAATCCAAGTAATGTATACTAAAAAGCAGTCAAATGGATCCTCAGATATCTACAGGGCACCACAAGTAAAGTACTTTGTTTCAAAGGTGGAGATACAATACTAACAGGTTATGTGGATGTTGATTTAGCAGGAAATATTAATATCAGAAACAGCACTACAGGATTTGTCTATACTCTAGGAGGTACTACAATGAGTTGGGTTTGCAGAAGATAGTTGCTCTCTCCATAACTGAAGCAGAATATGTCGCTGTTACAAAAATCAGCAAGAAAATAGTTTGGCTTCAAAGTTTCTTGAATGAATTAGGCAAGAAACAAGAAGACAGTGTCTTATATTACGACAGTCAAAGTGCTATTCATCTAGCGAAGAATTCGTCTTTTCATTCCAGAACGAAGCACATATAGGTGTGGTATCACTTTATCCGGTCACTTCTAGAAGATAAAATTTTAAAACTTGAAAAGATCAGCGGAGCTCAAAATACGACAGACATGCTAAAAAAGACAGTGACTACTGACAAACTGAAGCTGTGTTCAGTTTCAGTTGGCCTGCAATAGTATCAAAACCGAAAAAGAGCTGCTGCATAGATCGAGATGTGAAGACAAATTGAAATCAGTCTTTAAGTGGGAGATTGTCAAGATAGGCTACACCGAAAGCAAGGGGGTAACTAATGTTGACAAAAGGAAAAGAGCAAGCACTAAAAGAAGAAATCAGAGTCAAAAAGAAGGTGAGCGGGCCCCACCATGGGTCCCACCACTAATAATTTACTAGTGCATAGTATTTTTCCAAACACTATAAATAAGCCCACAAATCTTCAGGAAAAAATCACCCCGGAAACAACTCCTCTTATAGAAGAGTAAGAGAGAAAAGAAATGCATGGAAAAAAGACTTTAATGAGAAAATTATGAGCAATTTTCAGAGTGAAATTTGGGATACAAGTGTAAAAACTCTTGTAAATTTTCTCCTCTTAGTGAAAAATCTGCAACAGCCCATAGACGTAAGTAATTTTGTGCCGAACCACGTCAAATTTGTGTCCTTTTATTACGCATTTATTTCGCTTTCTCATAAATCTGGTTATAGGAGAATTTACGTAATTTCCCAACATGTTTTGTGGTCAGAAAACTAGCAAGCTAGACTTTTATGAGCATTATGTATTTGGCAAACACAATAGAGTCTTCTATAGTACTGGTGAATGGTATCCATAGAACCAAATGTATTTTAAATTATATCCATTCAGATGTTTGAGTTCCCTCTCAGTTTCCATCGAAATGTAGAGCTCATTTTCTACTAACATTAATTGATGATTATTCCAAAAAAGTTTGGATGTATCCTTCGAAATATAAGAATGATGTGTTTGCGATCTTCAAGCAATGAAAAGTTATGATTGAGAAGCAAACAGGAAAGAAAGTGAAACGCCTCAGAACCGACAATAAGATAATTTTGTTCCACAGAGTTTGACCAGTGCTGCAAGAATGAAGGTATTGTGCGTCATCGTACAGTTCGGCATACACCACAACAAAATAAAGTTATAAAAAGGATAAACAGAATACTGTTAGAGAGAGCCCGATACATGCTCTCTAATATCGGTTTGTCAAAAGATTTTTGGGCTGAGGCAATCAATACAACTTGCTATTAGATAAACAAATCTCCTTCTATAGCAATTGGTCTTAAGATTCTAGAAGATGTATGGTCCGGTGCCCCTACTAATTATTCTCATTTAAGAGTATTTAGTTGCTCTGCTTATTTTTATGTTCATGATGGTAGGCTTGAACCTAGAGCAAAAAAACTATCTTTCTAGGATATGCTACTGGGGTGAATGGATAAAATATTAAAAATTGTGACGTTTTGATCCTAAATCACCTAAATTTATTATCAGTAGGGATGTTATTTTTGATGAGAAATCCATGATTTATCCGAGAAAGGAGTTTTTTATTGATACCATAGGTACTGAAAATGAGTCTAGCAAGAAGGTGGAGGTAGAAAACTCTGCTTCAAATGGAGTGTCTGAGGGCGCTCATGTTGAACCAATTGATACTGTGAAAGATTCAACTTCAGATGTTGATACAACGCAAGAGTAACATTATAATATTGCCATCGAGAGAACAAAAAGGCAGATTCGACCTCCTCAACGTTATGCAAACATGTTATTGCTTTGAATATAACAGAATCGATTGAGATTCCAGAGCCTTCTACCTACAATGAGGCTATTTGTGACATTGATGCTGCAGATTGGATTGTTGCGATGACTGAAGAGATGGAGTCTCTTTACAAGAACTAGACATAGAAGTTAGAGAAGTTACCAAAGGGACAGAAAATCATTGGCTGCAAATAAGTCTTTAAAAAGAAAAAAGGAACTCCGGATACATATTCTGTAAGACACAAGGAACGCTTGGTAGCTAAAGGCTACAATTAGACCAAAGGTGTGGACTTCAATGAAGTATTCTCTCTAGTTGTAAAACACACCTCAATCCGCGTGTCACTTGCTATAATTGTTCATTTCAATTTAGGGCTTGAGCAACTTGATGTGAAGACGAATTTTTTACATGGCGAGCTGGAGGAGCATATCTTTATACATCAGCCAAAGGGATTCATTATTGAAGGTAAAGAAGATCATGTGTACAGGTTAAAAAAATCTCTTTATGGGTTAAAACAATCTCTAAGTTAGCAGTATTTGAGATTTAATACTTTTATGCTTGAGCATGGTTAATCTAGAAGTAAATATGATAGTTGTATTTATTATAAAAAGCTCAATGATGATTCTTTTGTATATTTGCTTCTGTATGTTAACGACATGTTGATGGCAGCTAGAGACATGTCAAAAATCAATGAGTTAAAATCTCAACTCAAACATGAGTTTGAGATGAAGGACTTGCGAGTAGCAAAGAAGATTTTAGGGATAAAGATCCACAGACAAGAAAAAAGTTTATTTCTATCTCAGGATAAATACATCAAAAAGATATTGGAGAGATTTGGCATGCTTGATACCAAGCCTGTAAAAACTCCGCTTGTTGCTCATTTTCATCTTTCAGCAGATCTATCACCTCAAATTGAAGAGGAGCAATACATGTCTTGTGTTCCTTATGTCAGTGCAGTTAGAAACATTATGTATGCTATGGTCTGCACCCGTCCGATATTTCACATGCAGTCAGTGTTGTAAGTTAGTATATGAATAAGCCCAAAAAGATCTATTGACAGACTGTAAAATTAGTACTTAGATATTTGATATGGCATGCTAATATTAGTTTAAATTTTAACAGGAATACAAATTCAAATTGTAAAATAGTTGGCTATTCTGATTCAGATTATGCAGGCGATTTGGATAAGAGACAATCCCTAACCGGTTATGTATTCACTCTTTCAGATAGCGCTATTAGTTGGAAGGCAACTCTATAGTCAACAGTTACTTTATCTGCCATAGAGACAAAATATATGACAGTGACAAAAGCAGTAAAAGAAGTCATTTGGTTAAGAGGTTTGGTTGAAGATCTCAGTTTACACCAAGGTGTTACTACGGTATTTTGTGACAGCCAGAGTGCTATACATTTGATGAAGCATCAGATATATCATGAAAAAATCAAACATATATAATGACGAAGCTCTTACCTTCGCGCAAGTTCAAACATTGTCTCGAATTGCTTGGATTTTAATAAAGCGAAGGTTAAGCTCATAAGGGGCTTCTGGTAAGACAGCAAGAATGAAGAGAGGATTTTTATATTTAAAGTCAATATGGAGATTATTGTTATTTGACTTATTATACGAAGTCAAGACTCACCTACCTCCCTACATGCTAGCCCAACTATTCCCTAACCTAACTCCCTATTACACCAACCATTAGTAATTTTTTATTAAAATTAAAAGGTTATAAATGGAGTGTTGAAGGATGAGATGCATCGAATAGAGAGAGGAGTTAGAGAGAGGAGAGAGATAAAGTTAATTTCTTTCTTTGTGCGATTTGTTGGTGGGGTTAGAGAGTGATCTCTTTTGTAATCTTCTCTTTTGTGATTAGTGAAATCATCTGTTGTTCTCGTCCGTGAATGCAGGTCATACTGACTGAACCACGTTAAATCCTTGTGTGCTGTTCTTTGTCTCTACTGTGATTACATAATTCTATATTATTATCCAGTTTGTATAGACATTTTATGTGGCTGTGTAGCCCCCCTGCAACATTAATAATGTGAAATAATGTTTTACATAGCATATTTTTTAAAACATTGAGGAAACTATGATAACTTTAAAAAGGTCAATAGAATAATCTAATCATGTTTAAAAATTCAGTAGACACCCTCTGCGTTAAGTCAAAATAGGAAAAACAAACACAGACACCCTCATATTTAGTAATCGCAAACTAGCCCAAATTAAGTAAGATGACACTTCCAAGAAATCAATTTTATCGGAACAAAATTTTAGGGAAAGCAAACATAGATAAAGAATTCCTACATAAAAGTAAAATGATTGAATCAATGAGCTAAATTTTAGGTGATGGCATGTTTGGTTGCTTTATGTAAAACAACGCAGTAGCGACAGTAATAGGGAAGTGAATGATCCAGCTGTATCTGATAGCTACAGTAAATTGAGCTCATTTCACTACTTTTTACCGAAAAAGCTAAGGGGCAGCCAACTCAGCTACAGTATTGCCAATTCAGCTACAGTGTCGTCAACTCAGCTATAGTAACCGTACTTATTTGAGCAGGCCAAGCAGAGGAATTAGGTGTAATATTGTAGCACCTGACATCTACAGTATTACACCCCAAAAATTGGCAAACAAACAGGCCCTTATTGACAAGAAAATAAGTCCAAGCAGCGTACCTCGTTCCCCGAACATGGGTGGAGCGTTGAGGTGATCGACCTTGGATGATCGGCCAAAATCTTCATCATCCGCGGCAATTGCCTGGAAGTGAGCGATTTTAACCGCTCATTTACTGGCGAGATCTTCCATGTAATTTCGTCTCCCCCATCGTCTTGGCTTTGCTTAATCAACTATTTCAACCCACAAAATTTGTACAGAGCTTTCAATATACAAGAATTAAAAATTGAACGGAGAAAGAAAGATCACCGATGGGGCTCACCATTCCAGGAGAGAACTTGAATCGCTTGTGAGGAATCGATTTGGTGATCTCCGGCGAGATCGGCGACGAGTCCTCCTCGGCAACGACGGTGAGGGCGGCGTTCTTAGCTTCATTGGGATTAGGGTTGGGATTAGGGTTAGGGTTTTGGGAGGCGGAGTTAGCCTGAGAGTGGCGCTCGAAGAAGTGCTGGATCCCGAACTTGGAGGGCTGCGATTGCTCAACTGTATGATTCGATTTCTTTGAAGAGGATCTCTTGCGAGGAGCCATGGGAGATCAAGTTAGGATTTTTAGGGTTAGGGTTTCATGGATAGATAGAAAGGGGAACGGGATAATGGATCAAAGAAGAGAGGGGGGGAAGGAGGTGAAGTGAAAATTTTCCCGCCTAAACGAACGGGCTGCTGGGTCTCCTGGGGATCCAGTGGAGTCTGTATCGCTGCGTGGAGTGTACAACGGACGCAGATTACGACACGTTTCTAGTACAAAAGTAGTTCTCCGGCCTTAGGGTGAGCACGCCTGTGGTTTACGTGCAACTTAAGCTAATTGGTGACATGTGGGCAATCAGTGTTGGTCGTGTACTCTGTAGACTCGAGTTTAGACAGGGCCGAGGACTTGCGCCGGCCCAAGCTGTACACAAAGGGCCATGAATATTTTTTTTTTCCAAGAATGCGAAACATCATGAACTTGGCGTCACCAATTTCTGCTTTCTTTTTATCGTTTCAGGGCCTGTTTGGCTATTTCCAAAAAAAATTGGAAATGGAAATGTCATTTTTTAAATGCTTTCATAACATTTCAAGACATTTCCCAGTTTTCTTTTTTTATGTTTGTTTCGTAAAGAAAACTCTCCTTTTCACTGGCAAGTCACACAAAAAACAAAAAAAATGCCTCCATAGTAACAGTGTTGGACATTTCCATTTCTTTTGTTTGTTTGAAAACAAGAAAAAGAAAAAGAGAGAAAACCAATTTAAATAATATGTTTTATTCTTCATAACTATTCAAACAGTGCTTTTAGTAATAAATAATTCTCTGAAGTGACATTTCCCAGTGTTTTCAGAGGTTTTTGTTGTGAAAACATATTTCTTAAAAATATGAGGTGGCATCCTATGTGGCTTTTCATTTCCCAAAATTTAAAAACGAAACAAACACCTGAAATGAAAAACTCTTGAAATCAAAATCCTAGGTGGCATAGGGGGGTTTTCTTGAAAGGTGATGTGGAGGGACATTTCTCATTTTTTTTTTTAAGCAAACAAACAGACCCTCAGTAAAGGGTCTTTGAAGCAAAGCTTGGTGTTGCCACGGAGAAACACTACGTAAACCAAATAATGGGCCTCCAAGCAAAAGCACAAAAAACAAGATGACTAAAGTACATAAAAAGATGTAATAAGAAAAGATAAAATGTATATAAGCTGATAGTCCATTTTGTAAATTAAGCTGATAGCTCATTTTGTAAATTGAGCTGCCACATACATGTGAACCTCATATTACAAGCTAATATGAGGACAGTTTAGTCTCTAGAATTTCTTTGAAATTTGAAGGTTATTTTGTACTTGTAGTATACTTTCACGTACCTTTTGAGACCTTGGCCCTTGGGTGTGAAACAAACTTAGGATGTTCGGATCACTCCATAAAATGTGATGTAGAGAAAGAGTCGTTTACCTTTTTTTTTTATTTTTTTATTTTTCCTGGGAGAAAATTTGGGATCTATACTGAACTCGAGCGCCACTCAGTCCATGAAAAATGTGATAAACATTGATGCATATGCAATTAAGGCAAGGTCTAGTTTTAAACGACAAAGAAACTGCGATCAACGCGAAGTCAATTGTGCCAGAAAGAAAAATACCAGACGACTGTTTGCACACCCCTTTTGATAGTACTTTTTTAACTAATAACGGGGTCAATTATGAGAGAGAGAGAGAGAGACACCATTTGTCTCCATAATTTTTTAACTAATGTTAATTAAAAGGCTAAATATCAGAAAACTCCCGCTAACTCTGGACGATTATTAGACATAAAAATATCAGAAAAACCCCTTTGAGATTAGGGGTTATATCACAACCCATTTAACTTTAATATCTTATCACAAACCCTCCTAACAGTGTCAACCGCAAATTTCACATCATTGGATAAAATGATGAATGCTTGTAAAAATTGTGATTAACACCTTTAAGGTAGTTTTTTAAAAAATCTTAAAGTTAAAGGTGGTTTCCTAATAACCCCTAAATTTAATAGGGTTTTCTAATACTTTGAAACTTGTGTGGGGTTATCTGATAATTGTCCAAAGTTAAAAGAGTTTCCTGATATTTAGCCTAAGGGGTTGTTTGGTTGTTGTTGGTAAAGTTGTGTATTTATGACACAACTTGGAAAGTTGTTGTCCACCTCATCAATTTTACTTTTAGGGGCTGTTTGGTTGTTGTTGGTAAAGTTATGTATTTATGACACACAACTTGGAAAGTTGTTGTCCACCTCATAAATTTCACTTTTATACTTTTCTTTGTTTGTTTTTTATTCCATTGGAATCATAAAACACTTGTTTGGTTTGCAAAATGAAACTTTAATTGTTTGTTTGGAAAGTGTAAAAAGTTGTCCCTACTCAAATGATGATATTGGTTGGAATTATTTTTTCCAGACTTCAATGTCAGCTTTCTCCTAAAATCATGTCTTTTTTTTATGAAATCACTTTACAAGCCACATCTAAAATCATGTCTTTTTTTTATGAAATCACTTTACAAGCCACATCAGCATATGAAATCACTTTACACTACTTTCACAACTACAAACAAACAATTGAAAGTGATAAAAGATGACATTGGGACCCACTTTTTTACACTTTCCATCCTTTTACATAGTAAAAACATACAACCAAACGGGCCCTTATACTTTTATTTGTTTGTTTTTTATTCCATTGGAATCATAAATTGCTTGTTTGGTTTGCAAATGTAAAATCACTTTACAAGCCACATCAGCATATGAAATCACTTTACACTATTTTTACAACTACAAACAAACAATTAAAAGTGATAAAAGCTGACATTGGGATCCACTTTTTTACACTTTACATCCTTTTACATGGTAAAAATATACAACCAAACAGCCCCTAACTAAGATACACCTATTATTTTTTATTGAAATCAGACTATGTACAGCAAGAACTACCCCCGTTTCCACAAAATCCTTCGTCATTGATTTCTGCCAAGTGTGATCTGGGAACAAGGTATACACTTGAGTGACGAAGACAGGGAAGGGAAGGAGACATTTTGCTCTTGATGAAAGCGAAGCACTATTACTTAATTTCATGCTAACCTCTTTTGAGAAAAGCTACGAGACGATCTCCAAGAGATAAGATAAAATTGTTATGACAAAGGTGTTAGTCAATTGAAACATTTTCATGTAAAGTGGAATAATTTTTCCCTAGTGGGATATTTTAGTGGGATAAATAGGAACATTTTTGTGAAGCAGGATATTTTGATAAAATAACGTGGGATAATTTTTTTATAATCATGAAATATATATTTATGCATTTTGAAAATATAAATACTATTTATGTATTTTATGAAATATATATTTATGCATTTTGAAAATATAAATACTATTTATGTATTTTAAACTTACTATTATTGATTGATAATTGCTTATGTATTTTAAACTTACTATTATTGATTGATAATTGCTTATAAGAATGTTCTTTACTATTAAATAACTTTTTGTTAGAGTATAAGATATTGGCAATTATTATTATAATAATGGTCTAATGATGGTGATAACCATAATAGGGAAGAAGTAAAGAAAAGAAAAAATAATATAAAAAATAAAAAATAACAAAATAAATATGAGCTCTAGTTTTTTACCACCTAGTTTCAAGCTAAAACTTGAAATAATTTAAGAGACTAGAACTCTCATTTTTGTATAGAAAAATAAAATAAGTGGGATAATTTTATACAATATCTCAATTCTAGTTTTGCTAGAGTTCTACTTGACTAACACGGTAAAACTTTGTTCTAATTTTAGTTGTATGTGACTAACAGCTTAAAAATTTATCCCACAGATTATCTCAGTTATAATTTTAAGTTCTAGGTAACTAACCAATCATATGAAACCCAAAAAATATCAAAAACACAATAATGCATGGATATACATGGTTCAACTTATAGACTACATCTACGGGTGAATGAGGAGAAGAACTTTACTAACAATTGAGTATAATGCGGTGATCTCTCAAATACTCGGTCTTAAATCATACTCGAGAAATACTTAATCTCTCTAACAACCGCTAACACATGTATAGCCAACTAAATAGCGAGTCAAATCAAGAATCTCTTAAATCTATTGTTTTAGCCTGCAGAGTCCATCTCAATGCTTATTGTTGTCATTGGGTAGATCAATTGTCTTCAGCCTTAATAAAAAAACCATATGTTCTTTCCTTTGATATAGTGACCCCATGTTGGGTGAATTCTCATCAATAGCTTATGTTATATTTATAGAGACTAAGGATAAGAGTTGTTGCTAGCCGCAAACTCTACAAAATATGATTCTTAATCTCAATATAATAAACTAACTCTTTTGTCCTTATTTTAATATTGGGCATAGTCAATATGAGTTCTATTTGGATTTGCTAAATTGATATTTGAATCGTCTGCAGCAAATCTCCATCTTGATTCAAATACTAAGAAAATTCCTCAGTCCAAATAATCTAACTTACACTACCTTCTCCAATAGCCTCGGTGGGCATTAAGTGTAGCACATACCGATCAAGTTCAAACACCTCTTGAACTTGCCACCTAAAAGAGACTTCGGTAACAAATTGACTGAATTATCTGCACAAATAACTAATCCCTCCACGAATCCATCACCTAAAGTAGTTCCTAAATAATCTGAAGGCATAGTATCATTAACTGATTATGCATAAGCTATTGTATCTTCATATTTTCGCGATGATCGAACCCAATCATCCTCACACACGGCAGCCAATTTATTCGACTTCCCGAATAAAAACTTCCTTAATCTATTCTGTACGAACATGGTAATTATCCTGACTTACCAAAGGCTAAACTTGATGTTGTCATCAAATTTTCTAATATCCCACTTCATAATGATTAGCATCATCTTCCTGTCTGATCGATAGCTTAGAGCTCTGATACTAATTTGTGATGACAATCCCTCGAAATAAACTAATATCAATTACACGAAAGTATAAAAAATATCGAGAACACAATCACACAAAGATATATGTGATTTGGCTTGTAGCCTACGTCCACCGATGAAGGAGGAGAATAGCTTTGTAGGGTCAAAAAATTGAAGATTGATTGATTCTCTTGTTTTAAGAAATGGGTTCGAACACTTGGTACGAAACCCTTACAATCATTCACTCTC